ATAAAAAACACTCAAAGAATAGCCAGTTAAAAATTCTAGAATAAAATAGCAATAGCAATAGCAATAGCAGTAGACTTATATACCACTTCATAGGGCTTTCAGCCCTCTCTAAGCGGTTTACAGAGAGTCAGCATATTGCCCCCAACAATCNGCCCTCTGCCATGGCTTCCATTGCTCTCACCAGGTTAGACGTGGTCTTGCAGTCTGCGAGATTTGAACTTTCAGTGGTGTTGTGGCTGGAAACTCATTCCTGCAGACTCTTGCAATCTGCCTCTTGCGATCGCAGCATTGGCAGATTGCATCTCAGAAATAGCAGTCAGATGGCTGGGGGTTGCCTCCACAACCAGCACAAGGCGGGAAACGGGATTCAGATTCTCGCACCATTTTCTTTCTCTCTGCGCATGAATCTCATCCTCACTGTCAGAGAGGTCTCACTCTGTAGTCTCGCGATGCACCTCAGCTGCTCTGTGTGTGCTCTTGGGGCTGTTCTGCTTCTGCTCTCAGGTTCTGAAGGGTTAATGAAAACAGCCAAACACAGAAACAGTTTGAAAATGCAGTTTAACTTCCAAAGGCACCAACAAAACATTAAGGCAATAAATAAATTGTCAGAACTGTGACCCGGTGCTCTCCACCACCTTTTATAGTTACTTGGTAATTAGGATAAACTGCATCCTGTGCATGCGCACACCCAGTCCCTCGGGATCCAGAACAAAAACCACCTGGCAATTAAACATGGATTGTTTTCAGTCAGTTATCAAGAGCTTTGTAGATTACTCAGCTGGATTGCTTGAGGAGGAGGGAAATCTGGTGAGTCTTGGCAGCTGGCCTGGTTTTCTCCCCTGAATGGCAGCTCCGGGCCTCTGGGCTGGCCGGAGCTGACATGTGGCTCCCTACCATGAAGACAGCTTCTGGGGAGCTAAAAATTATAGTCAGTTAGGAGTCAAAGGACCCCTTCCCCCCAGTTTTTGTGGGATGTCTGCGGTGGAATCTCGCTACCAGGTGTGGCACCCTAATGTCCTTCCTATGAACCCATGATGTCTCCGACAGGGGATAACCTTTCCATAAAACAAGGTATTGTAACCATCCCCTGTGCCACCTAGTATCTAGTATATCTTGCACTACATAGTTGTTCCCCATCTACAGTAACCGTGGTTGGCAGCTGTAGTGGATCTCCTCTCATATCAGATCCCTGAATTGATCGGAGCAGGCTGTAGTGGAAGACTGGATGTGTTTTCCCCAGTATGGCGGGCAATCTTAGCTGCACTGTGACCAGGTTAATAACTCGCTCTGGATGTTTCAGTACTGGATCTTGCGCAAACAAGGACTTCAGATCCTCAAATGTTTGCAGACATGCTGTTGTCCCCACAACTGGGCTTCCCGGTCAAGGGTTTGTCGTGAGATGTTTTGTGCGTAAGAGATTGGTTAGTGGAAGGGCCACTTGGACAAAGGACGGGATGAACGGACAATAGAAATTGGAGCCTGCCAGTCCAACACCGCCTTT